AAAAGAAAGAAAAATGTGTACACAAAAAACATACTCAAGCTCCACGGACAGCACTGGACGTTATCAGAGTTTGAAATGTGAAAATACCATTTATTCTAATCACTTTTGTTAAAAATATCAAGTGATCTCTCCTTCTGTCAACTAACAATCTATTTAATCTTTGATTTAATCTCATTCATCTGTTTAAATCAGAGAGCTGATAAATGTGCCTGTCAACACATGATTCGTGAGGTGAGCGTCACCAGACCCGTCTACATCACACCAGACCTGAGGCAAGCGAGGGATCCTCGCACCAGGGCCCGCTCCATACTACACACAAAACACCATTATATGGACTGCAAGTATTAATGCTAACCTAAAAATTCATAAATGTCAGTCTGTGACACACTGGAGGAATCCAGACAGCAAGTAGGAATCCATGTCAATCATCTGCAGATAATCACATCGACGTCAATTAATTCTGCTTTTCCTGACAGAAATCAGTACGTGCTGTCAGCTGAGCTCCTGCCTCCAATTAAACAGCAGAAACGAAGCGGCATGTAACAGCACACGATTCAGCATTCAGTGTTTGAACACCTCCCGATTCAACATACTAGATGAACACTAACTATATCTGACAAGAAAATTCATCAGAAAAATAATCACAATTACCTAAATATAAAAATATTCAATCACAGCATGCTATTTAGAAGAAGAGTACTACAGCATGAAAGGGTTCGGCTAGTGCTTGGTTTTGTAGTTTCTTCGATATCTCAGAAAAAACAACACTCCATCAGTCCAAAACTGTGCTCAATATGTTTGAGTTCAACCCAACTGCTTCATTTCTTATCCTCAAATAAACTCACAGTTCAGTGTGGACATTACCAATGAATACTAGCAAAACAGCAGCATTCCTGGGGACTGACCACAGCATTGCTTCCTTCTGTATATGACTAACGACCCTGGTTTGAGTGGGTCGCTGAAGCACCTTGCAGATGTCAATAAACGGAGGGCCAAATGGAATCAGTCGCTCCCAGAGCAGAATTCATTTCCTTCCCTGCTCTCTTCAGCACCCATCAAACGCAAACGCTGCCTGACCAGAATGGATAATGACTACAGCTCTATATCTCCAAACAGCATGCAAATGGAGTCACGGGACCAAATCAGTCCATGAGGGAACGTTAGCGTAAATATTGTGAATGCTTTGCTATGATTTCTGATAAGAGTTCTACAAAAACAAAGAATTGTGGAGATTAGTAAGATACTGTCACATCAACATTACAATATGAAACCTTTTCTTTTTACATTTTCTTCTGAGAAGGATTGCCAACGATGCAGTGATGTACTGTTGAGTACCGAAAGAGTAGAATCAGCCAGAATGTGGTTTTGATGGGTACATGTTTCACACGGCGTCGCTTTTATCTACAGACTCAGTGGGTAGCAAATAACTGAAGGGAGCTACTACTACTCCAACACACGGTACAAGTATTACAGTTAAACAAATGCATTTTGTGTATCTGTTTAAACAACTTGAGCGATACATTATTAAAGGTAGGGTATGTAATTTTTCAAAAACACTTTAGAAAACTGATTCGGGCCGAATAGCAAAACAAACTTGTAGCCAATCAGTAATAAGGGGCGTGTCTACTCGTGATGTGGAGGAGAGAGCTTTCAGTGCATGAGACAGACATTAGTCGAGCCGAGTGACAGAAAGATGGAGATGGCGGATAAAAAACAAAAGAGGAAAACGTCTGCGGAACGATAAGGCAAGAAGCAGGACCCGTGTAAATATCAGATCAGCTTTCCAGCGCTGGAGAGAACTCAAGGAGTGGAAGGCCTGCGATCGGACGCCGAGGTTGCTTTGTTTCTTCTCGATAGGCGAGTAACACCGTGTCTACAACAGCTAAAGTCTGCCTACACTGGTACACTGCCTCGCAGTTTTCTGTCGGGATTTGTCACGCCGCGCCGCTCACGTCCGATGCAGACACAGTGTAACATTGGTTCCCTTTCGTGGAACTTCGAACTGCGTCCTCTAGGGGTCGCTATGGGGAACGCCTCGTCGTGACCCGTGTCTGAAGCCTACATTGAAAAAACACCAACTTGTTTGGCCCGGCGACAGCCATGACGTCACTACCGTCGCAACTAGTACAAAATAGGCGCCGGTAGCGCACATCATCACTTTCTTCGTCTTCACTGACCGTTCTTTTTGAAGCATGCATTCCAAAAGCAAAGTAAGAGCATTTTCTTTTCCTACTATGGCGAGCACTAGCGGAGCGTTTAGAAAGTGTGTACATCCGTGTCAGCGGTTTCTGACACCCGATGATTCACACGAGCTATGCGTTGTTTGTTTGGGCGAGGAGCACGCACGCGATGTC